CCCAGATCTGCGGCGGGGCCACACACGCAGTTGAGTTTAAAAAAAAAAACGACCCCCCCCCCCCCCCCCCCCCCCCAAAAAAAAAAAAAAAAAACTGTCCAGATGACACGACTTAACCCTTTTTAGTTATGTATCTACCTGGATGATTGAGCTTACAAACTTTTTTTGTCTTTTGAACATCCAACACTAACTGTCTGAGAGTTTCATTACAGTCGCTCAAGCAGTTTGTGAAACATTTTGCTAACAGACAAAGTGGACTTGAACAGTCATTGCCCAAAAAAATCTTGCACCATCAATTAATGCTCAGAGTATAAGATGGGGATGACCCTCTGCTACTACCACACCAACAAACAAACAAACAAAAGCTCAACATTTGTCAAACTGACAGAGTTAGAGACATTTTTGTTTTGTTGCTCATCTGTGACAGCCATCTTGAATTAAGACCAGCCTGGTGATTGTTTTCTGATAGTTTCATTCAAGTCTAACCAGTGGCTCATGGAATATTTTGCTAACACAGACAGGGCTGACGCCAACAGTTAACGCTAAAGTTATCTAGGATATTTTGCTAACACGAAGGCGTGGTCAAAAAGAAACATCTGCAGCAGCTGTGCCGCTGTTCTGGAATAATCGATGCTCTTTTCAGAGTAAGTGTCTCTGAGCCAGAGGGCGGGCAGCAGGAAGCCGCAGCTCTCAGGAAGCTGCGGAGTGGGTGTTGCTGTGTCCACCTGGACACACAAATGTCGCGGATACACCAGCAGGTGTTGAACAAACATGGAGTGAAGCAGCAGACAGAATGTGTCTCACAACAACTGTTGCTTCAGCTAAACGCGCCTGACGCTCTGCATGTTGGTCCGTGGATAGACGTGGCAGGTTAAATAAAAAAGATGTGGCGGTGTAAATATAAAAGATGTGGCGGTCTAAAATAAAAAAAGATGTGGCGGTCTTACCTGGCCGGTGAGAAGCAGTCACTTGTGGGTACTTCCCTTCACTGAAGCCAGACTGTATCCGTCAACAGACTGGGAGGAGACCTCTTCGGTCGGAACTGTACAGACTGCTGGAACAAACCACCTGTACGCAGACCTGCCGCCGATTTATTTCACTTTCTTCCTTCAACTTCGATATTTAACTGCCGAATACTTTTATTCTTCGCCAGTCCGATCAGTCTGCCCACCCTCTGTTTTCCCTTCTCCTCCTCCACTTGGACGAAAACAGCCGAAATTTGTCGGGAGGACAGAGGCGGAGCAACACGAAGCACGAGCGGACATTACTCTGCGTCAAGCTAGCCGCCGTTGTGTCAGATGTTGCATGCTAGTTCCGGGAAATTTCAAAATAAAAGTAAATTAAACGGCTTCAAAAATAAATACTGTAGGTAAATATTTAAACAAATAGCGATGGGAAGTCTTATGGAAACCCATGTTATGTGGTTTTTTAAGAAGAAAAAAATCCAATAAGTTATAATTGCAAGATAATATTTCATTATTCATCTTACTTCCTCAGGTGTCTGAGGCAGCTGGTTATCAGTCCTCACCTCCTTCTACAGGTGTGCAGTGGAGAGCATCCTGTGCTCCAGCATCAACATGTGGCATGGAGGCTGCACAGCTGCAGAAAGAAAAGCTTTTGTAGAGAGTGGTGAAGGCTGCACAGAAGATGTTGGAGTCAGCCTCCCCACCATCACAGACATCTACACCTCCAGATGCAGGAAGAGGGCCACCTGCATCATGAAGGACCCCACTCACCCAGCACACACACTTTTTGCCCCACTCCCCTCAGGAAGGAGGTTAAGGAGCATTAAGTGTAGAACCACTAGACTGAGGAACAGCTTCTACCCTGAAGCTGTTGAACTCATAAATCCCTAACCAGACAAATCACTGTAATGACACTTTAATTGGCGATATGACACTTTATCTGTGCTGCTGATTATTCATGCTGCTGATTTCTTACCCATAAGCTGCTAAATTCATATCCATCTGCTCACAACAGACTCATGTTCAGGCTGCTGTTCAATAATTATTATATTCTATTATTGTTGATTAGCATATATCTTAGATCCTTGTGTACTGTTTCTTTTTTATACTTTATATTTTTGCTATTTTTGTTTGTAACTGGGATCCTATGTACACAGTTTTGTTCCACCTCATGTACCACATGTGATGCAAATGACAATAGTATCCTTGAACCTTGAAAATTATGACTAATCATCTCATGATATGAGCTATGACTTATGTCATAATTATGTATTTGCATCCTACAAATATGACTTAAGTCAAAGTTTTAAGATGCTAGTCAAAATTATGATACAGTATCCTATATACCACATCATAATTACCAGATACTAAGTCATTTATGTTCAAATGAATCTCATAATATAAATCATTTTATTAAATCAACTTACATAATTATGAGTTGTAATTTTTTTCTAAAAGTGGCAAAAAATATTGTTCATTTATCAAATCTAACAGCTCCAAACAGAAATTAAGCAAATGCACTTTGTTTCCATTGTGTAACTCAAAATCAAATTATCACTGTTCAAGGTTTCTTTAGATACAGACACACGGACACTTTATTAATCCCAGCGGGGGAAATTCGAGGAATCATGCAGCATGGTCTAATTATACAGAAAAAACACCACATACTTGTAAATATACATACATACACATACACAAGTATCAGGGGCGCTGCAGATTTACACAGCTCTATTTTTTACTGTGCATGGAGGAGTTGAACAGTCTGATGTCTTGAGGGACAAAGGACTTCCTGAATCTGTCCATGGAGCAGGACTGGGACAGCATCTACCACTGAAGGAGCTCCTCTGCTTCATGATGGCACCGTGCAGAGGATGGTCAGCATTGTCCATGATGGATAGCAACTTAATGAGGACCTTTTCCTCTGCCACCAATGTACAGGTCCTTCTCAAAAAATTAGCATATTGTGATAAAGGTCATTATTTTCCATAATGTAATGATAAAAATGAAACTTTCATATATTTCAGATTCATTGCACACCAACTGAAATATTTCAGGTCTTTAATTGTTTTAATACTGATGATTATGGCATACAGCTCATGAAAACCCAAAATGCCTGTCTCAAAAAATTAGCATATCATGAAAAGGTTCTCTAAACAAGCTATTAACCTAACCATCTGAATCAACAACGTAACTCTAAACACCTGCAAAAGATTCCTGAGGCTTTTAAAAACTCCCAGCCTTGTTCATTACTCAAAACCGCAATCATGGGTAAGACTGCCGACCTGACTGCTGTCCAGAAGGCCATCATTGACACCCTCGAGCAAGAGGGTAAAACACAGAAAGAAATTGCTGAACGAATAGGCTGTTCCCAGAGTGCTGTATCAAGGCACCTCAGTGGGAAGTCTGTGGGAAGGGAAAAGTGTGGCAGAAAACGCTGCACAACGAGAAGAGGTGACCGGACCCTGAGAAGGATTGTGGAGAAGGGCCGATTCCAGACCTTGGGGGACCTGCGGAAGCAGTGGACTGAGTCTGGAGTAGAAACATCCAGAGCCACCGTGCACAGGCGTGTGCAGGAAATGGGCTACATGTGCCGCATTCCCCAGGTCAAGCCACTCTTGAACAAGAGACTGTGTCAGAAGCATCTCGCCTGGGACTGCTGCTGAGTGGTCCAAAGTTATGTTCTCTGATTACAGTAAATTTTGCATTTCCTTTGGAAATCAAGGTCCCAGAGTCTGGAGGAAGAGAGGAGACACAGAATTCACATTGCTTGAGGTCCAGTGTCAAGTTTCCACAGTCAGTGGGGTGTCATGTCAGCTGCTGGTGTTGGTCCACTGTGTTTTATCAAGGGCAGGGTCAATGCAGCTAGCTATCAGGAGATTTTGGAGCACTTCATGCTTCCATCTGCTGAAAAGCTTTATGGAGATGAAGATTTCATTTTTCAGCACGACCTGGCACCTGCTCACAGTGCCAAAACCACTGGTAAATGGTTTACTGACCATGGTATTACTGTGCTCAATTGGCCTGCCAACTCTCCTGACCTGAACCCCATAGAGAACCTGTGGGATATTGTGAAGAGAAAGTTGAGAGACGCAAGACCCAACACTCTGGATGAGCTTAAGGCCGCTATCGAAGCATCCTGGGCCTCCATAACACCTCAGCAGTGCCACAGGCTGATTGCCTCCATGCCACGCCACATTGAAGCAGTCATTCATGCAAAAGGATTCCCCACCAAGTATTGAGTGCATAACTGAACATGATTATTTGAAGGTTGGCGTTTTTTGTATTAAAAACACTTGTCTTTCATTGGTGGGATGAAATATGCTAATTTTTTGGGACAGGCATTTTGGGTTTTCATGAGCTGTATGCCATAATCATCAGTATTAAAACAATTAAAGACCTGAAATATTTCAGTT